TCTTTCCCTGTAGTATGTGCTGTCCTTCATAAGCAGTGCACAATACTCATCCCAAACGGAACAGCATACTGTTTAACTTCAAAAAATATGCTTGAACTTGAATGTTTGCTGAAGGCAAATCTTGTGTTCAGCTGTAGAATTTCAAAGGGTTGCTGATTACCACGGTAAAAATCTCACTTAAGGCAAAATGAGTTTTCAAACAGAGCAATAGCTATTTGCATCATGCAGAATTTTACATTACTCCACAACATGGATGAATTAAGAAGTGAAAGTAAAGTGCTAAAGACCACACAGGATGAAATTGCCTTGTTTAACATTTATACTCTTTCTGGTTAAACATATTATTAAAAAAAAAAATCAAGTATTGCACTAGTAAAAGTACCAGCGTATGGAAAATACCCTGCAATTAGTGGCTCTTGCAGCCATCTAGTGTTCTGTAATATGTAAACAGACTTTTGGTTTAGCTTATTTTATACAATGTTACCTCAGTGATGTGAGTTTAAAAACCAAAACCACACTGGTGGCACATGACAGTCCAGTTCCTAGGTACAAGCTCTAGTACTCTGGGGGCTGTAAGTCCTCGTTAGGTTAAATGTCTGAGCTAAGGCTACAGGTGGCATAATTGGAGCATCACATGTTGTCATTCAGGGTGAGATACTAAGAACTAAATGCTCTTATTCCACTTACTTTTATCTGTATTGCTTTTATTAAAAGAAAGGCAAGCAATTTCTGCTCTGGCTAATGCAGAAGTTCCCTGACTGTAATCCAGCATCCATACCTGCTTGTTGGTCGGTGACTTCTGAGCCCACTCGTAAAGCCGTTGGTAAACCTGTCCGTCGTAACTGCCAAGCGCAGAATTCAAGCTCTTATCTGTGAAGTCAAAAGCGTCCACTAGTGGAACAGCATCCTTCCTGCGGAGCAGATGAATGACATCCATATTACTGAAGTAGGTATTGCTTTGTAAGGATTTAAAATAAGTCAAAAGTAAACTTGAAAGTCAGTTGTCCCAAGTTCCTCAGTCTAAAATGCTTGTGCCAGTTTTCCCCCTTGCCTACACTGTGGGGAAAATCCTGCTTGTTTTGATTCCTCAGAGGCATGTTCTACTAATGCCCTGAGCAGTCTGTATGGTTGAATGGGTATTTGTAGGGTCTTGTAGTCATCTGGGGACTGTCCCTAATTCCTTAGTGTAGAACTCAATCTCCTGTCAGGTGTTTTCTCAGCAGACTCTGCCAGTTCTTGCATTTGGTTTTCGGGTGTTTTTTGTTTGTTTGTTTGTTTGTTTATTCTTATGCTGTATGTATTTGTCTTACAAAATGGAATAAGGTTGCTACTAGACTGATGTGAAGTGCTTTGCTGATCTCCAGCCTTCATCTAGTCTTAAGTACTTCTGTTACATCATCATGGAGTGTCAAGGTCGTCTGCTGTGTTTGTAAGAACAAAGCAACCCTGAACCACACCAAGGGCCCAGGGGCACCCATCTAGCCCAGGGGCCAACCTGACAGCAGTCAGCTACAGGTAGCCAGAGGAGAGCATAAGGGTAAGTATGGAATGACAGCATCTTCTCTTAAGCAGCAGGTGGTTTCTTTGTCCTTGTCCTCCCATCGTCCTGGGCGGAAGAAGTTGTGCTGTCTGTACACCACACCTGAGGTACAGGGTTGCAAAGTGGTTTGCTTAAACGTTGGCATTTGCATCTACCAGTTCCTTTTGGGAAGGGCTGTTTGGGGGTTTGGGAAAGGCTGGGTTTTTGTTACAGGCTGGGAAGCGTTGCTATCCTTTCTCCTAATTGTAAATAACTGACTTTAATTGCCCAGGTAAATACCCACTCCATTCTTGAATCTTGTTAACTAGGCATGGGCTAACCCAGAGAAGCTGCAATGAATTCCAGAGATGACAACGTGTTAGGCTTTCAAAAATGTTAAGCTTACCGCTTAACTCAAATTCTGTGATTGTTTCTGAAAATGCTTGCTGTTTGGCTCACTCCTGTTCAGCTCTTGGTTATGGTGTATGCTTGTTTCCAGGTGGCTTAAGTAGAATTTTGCATACGGTACTAACTTCTCTGCACTGTAAATTAATCTGTTCTTAACAAACAGCTCTGAGTAGTGAAAGGTGAACCCTTTGTGAAAAAGCCTTTGTGAGCGTTGTGGTAAGTTAAAACCTTAGCATATCTCAGAAGTCACATAGTAGTAAATGGTGCCGAGCAGATGCATCTGAGCTAGCTGTAGGCAGGATTGTTTGGGTACCAGTTGCAACTCAGCCATGGCAACAGAGTAGGCTGTATTAGCTGTGGCTTAAGCAGATTTTGCTGCGTGTGATCGGTTGCTGTGGCTGTCTCCTGCCAGTGCTGCTCTGACTACGTATTTTCCTGCTTCTGCTCTACGGCAAATGGTAATTCCTGATCTATAATTTAAGATTTCATGTTACAGAACTTCAATTTAGAGACTGCAGAGGAACTGGACACTTAGGTCTGTTTTGCTGTGAAAATGAACTCTGTGTAGATGTTTCAATCAATTTCTAGTGCTGCCAGGCAAAGAAAATAAAACCCGAGTGAGGTGAATTGCCTTTGGTGATGTTGCCATAGGTACAGCAGCACCATTTTTATATCTATCACAGGGACAAACTCAATAGCTGTGTATCTCTTTTCATGCTGGGGCAGCTCACCGAATGATAGCCAGAAGATCCAGGTATGATGCTGTGACCATGTCCATTTGCGCTCCAGATATGTATCCGTCATACAAGAAGAATCCTGCGTTCGAGAAGATCCCGTGTAATGCAAAGAGGTCACAAAGATGTTTCATAATCTTCTGGATGCCAGCCTTGGTCTCGAGTTTTTCCACAGTTTCTGTGAAGTTTTTCACAGTGATGTAGTGGCAGTGAGCCTGGAAAACAAATGCAATCAATAGTGAATGCACCTCAAAACACTTTTAGTAGGCCAAGTGACTCAAATGTTCTCGCAAAGAATATAAAACCTTTTCATTTCCCTGGCACTTTTCCAGTCTGTATTCTTTGTTTGCTGGTTGACCAGGCCTTTTGCATTCATGTCTTACAGTGACAGTAGAGGACAGAACTGGGGGTCGGTCAACCCCGTGGTTTTTGTAAACTCTAGAAAAGCACTTCAGAAATCATGGTAGTACTTATTCTAAATAATTTTGATGCATAACCCTAGGAGTTTGTGTGATGGAAACACACTGTGCTTGTGTTGACCCCTAGCAAGTGAATCTTGGTTATACATCAACAGGAGAAAACTCTTTTGTTGAAGACCTTGGGCTCGTGGTCCGTTGGGCTCAGTGTCTGTAGGGCTTCAGCTCCGAAAGCATCTGTTGTCACAGAAGAACAACCAAACTTACCTCTCGCTTTTGGGGTTTTAAGTAAACTGATAATTTCTGGGTCAGACACCAGTACTGCGTCTAACTGCCAAGTTACAGAAACACTAGCTGAGCTCCAGAGCGAGTGAAGTGGGCTGACTCCACCTGTTTGTGGGGGTGACTCTTGTTATGCTGACATTACTGCGGGTGGTTGGTGCTGTTGGTATCTGCGTGGGTTCTCTCCCCCACTGTATCGTTCTCCTCCCGGCTGTGGGTGTAAGCATGGCACACCTGTATTGCAGCTCTTCCTGCTGGCACGGTCAAGCAGCGTGGAGGCCAGCATGGACTGCAGAACCTGCCTGAGAAGCTGGGTGTCTACTCAAGCAATTAACCTACTCTTACCTGGGTAACTCTTCCTCTCCCTGAAGTATCTAAGAAACTTTGGGGGCCCACCTCCCGTTTTCTGAAGAGTCTAGCAGCACAATTGCCACTGCCAGTACCACCCAGCCCTCCACATGTGTTTATTTCTGACTGGTCCTGTGTCTAGGTTCTCCTCCTCGCTTCTCAGAGAGAGCTGGATTGCAGCTCCTCCTCTGACACCAGGTCTCCCCTGATCCTCAGTCCAGAGACCTTGGCCACCCATTTGAGTGGGTGGGTACAGGAGGGAATGGCTTGTTCAGGCTTGCACGTGGGGAGTGCTGGTCAGTGCCTTTTCTAGAGGTAATCTCAAATAGGAACGTTTTGCTTCAGTGTCATTCCACTAAAAATATATTTACATTTAAGCAATTCTCAGGAAAGTAATTTTAAAAAGTCATGTTGTTTATAGGAGGCCTCTGTTATTTTTGAGGCAATTACAGAGTTTTTCTGCTCTCTTTCAAGCTTGCAGCATTGAATACTTGCTGCTTCCACTGAGTCTGTGTAATTGAAAATGGGGGGTGGTGCACAGCAGACGGGTGACCACAAAAAAATGCTACTGTGGAGATCGAGTCTTTGCTGCCGTACTCAGCGAGTTCTCGTTTTGAAGGATTATAACTGTGCTTACTGGTATGAGTGGATCAGTGTTTCTGATGGTGTTGAAAGGAGCTCAGCTGTTGCTGAGGAAGTGTTTGACTCATCAAGGACTTCATCTAATTGACTGACTACAAGGGGGCTGTTCCCTGCCATGAAATCACCAAGATGGTATCACCACCATGCGTAGGGTTCCTTTTTCTCTGTCAGGAGCTTCTTGCTAAGGCCATTTCAGTTTGGGTTGGCTCTGGCAGAACGGCAGATTACAGCAAGATGTTTTTCATTAAAAAATTGAATTAACTTAAAATAAGACATGGATCTGTTTCAAAATCTTCCTTTCCTCATCTTAGGAAGGAAGGAAGGATGGATGACCTTCACAATAATTGTAGAGGAATTGTGCTTAATTGCATATTAAAAAAAAGAATTTTGTTTTTTGGAGGTACTGAAGTATCAATGGTTTTGGTTTTCATTAAAATTTAGGGGTTTTCTCCCCTCTTGCTTTCTTTTCTGCTTAGTTCTGTACTAACTAACCTCTGTTTTGGGGAGCTAATGCTGCTGTCCTGATCCTACAGCTGAAGGTGTGCTGGTTGCCTGTCTAATCCACGTGAACTGGGAGTTGGTTTTAAATCTCTTATTAATTTGACTTTGGTTTGATTTTTCTTCTTTCATTAGTAATTAACACTGCACTTATCACTGCTTTTCTTTGTTTTCCCTGCCGTTATCTTTCCTTGTGAGAGCAGTAGATGTAAGAAATACCAGGCAGGTTTTACCCTTGCTGTGACTCCACCAGCTTTCAGTAGGGTGATTTTGGGGAGAGTTTCCTCTGGGAGTCTGTGTGGAATTCTTTGTGTTTATCACTGGATTCTTATAAAAAGATGAGTGTTAGCTCGAGGCGGTGGGTTCTTGTTGCAGGATATGGGAGGTCTGATTCTGCGAGTAGTGGCAGCATAAATGAGAGGGTTGGTTTTTGGTTGGTTTTTTTTTTTCCCCTTTTATTTCTACTCCCTCTAGTCTTTTTCTACCTGGCCTACTCAGATGGCAAATTCTTCAGATCAGAAATTGCTTCTTACTACTATTTTTCCACCATGCAGACCACAGTGGTGCTCTGGTCTTTGTGGTGTCCCATAGATGCTAACAGAAAACAACAAACAGCGCTAAGACTTTAAGCTAATCATTCCATTTCTGTTGCATATTGTATCATAAAGAGAAATGTCAAATAAGCAGATAAATTTTGCTAACCTTCGCAGCCTGCACCAGCTGCACTGTGCACTGGTTCCACGCATTGTGCTTCTTGACTCCAGACTGAATCAAGTCCTGTAGTTTAGCTGCTGTGCTGCTTATAAGTCTGGAAAATTGAAAAAGCAAATTATAGATGAATATAGCGGCCCACACGCACTCATTCCATACTCAGACTTGTATGTGATCGTATGGCAAAATGGCATTTCTGACATTTGAAGTTATCTGCACTCAGTATGAGCGAACGTAGATTATGCAAAATCTAAGTACAAATTGGGAGAAGCACCCGGAGCACCCCGCTACTGAAGGATTTCTGCCTTCTCAGCTTCCAGGGTAGTTTACCAGGGGGTCTGCTGAGCTTTTCTTGGCTTGCGTGTGTATAAGGAGAGTTTGCAAACCAAAATAAAGCAATGATAATATTGCACAAATGTTACATTATGTTTCTTCTTTTCTACACAGAGATCTAAATTCTGCTCCCATTGATGCTGAAGCTTTTGGAAGGACGTCTCTGTCTTTACTCTGATTTAAATGACAGCACAGTTGTGTGTCTGTTTACCTGATTTTCAGAGATGACACCTATGTGACCCATAAACGTGCACATAATACCAATGAGACCACTCATGATCTTGTTTTTATCTGTGTTGAGTAGTTGAATGTGTGATTGAGAGGCTACAGGCTCAATGAGAGGCTCTGTGTTTGCTGTGGCATTAACTGAAAACAAACATCAGTTTCACAGGTATGTGAAATTTTAACTTTCTGTATAGAATTGCACAGGGTCCAGTTGCCTGAAGGTTTTACTGGACGGCAACTCAGTGATGTGGTGTGGGATTTACTTAAATAGTGCCATCAGCTCAGTATAGAATCAACTCTATGGAATATAGCTGTTAGGTAGCACATGGCTTAAAAACTTCTGATGTTCTGAATGCGAAAGCTTCATATTGAACATTTGACGTGCCTGTTAATCCTGTGTATTTTCTCTTTCAGGAGCAGATGGTTTCAATTCTTTGTAACTTCTGTTATTTTACCTCCCTTTAAAGCAAGGAAGAAGCTGAGCTTTTAACACATTTCTGATGAGAAACCCTGTCTCCCATCCTCCATACTGACCTGACTGCCGTGTGTTGGTAGGCCTCAGTGTAAATATCTGGTCTGAGAAAATCCGACTCGTTCTTGGCCGGACACTTCCCGGGTTTCACTGAAGCCAGATAAGTGACAGATGGTGGAACGGCCTGGCCTGTGCTGGCTGCCATGAAGCTCTTAATCAGGAACCTGGGGAGGGGGTAATGGTGAGAGCAGGGTATGATTGTGATCCCCACACAGCAAATGGTCATGCAAAAAGTGAAGCGGGCTTGGGTGAGGAGCAGCAGTGTGTGACCCACATCATCAGTGGTCCAGAATGGACTTGAGCAAGTAATGACCTTTTGTGTGACATGTTATTCGCAGTAACCTGATCTGTGATGGGTCTCAGGGGTGGCCTGTCTACTGTATTTAATGCTGTGGCAATCCGTAGTGATGGATTTTTAGGAAGAAACTTGCTGTGGCTATTAGCAGTCTCAGCAGCATGGTGGTGAGATACATTATCAACATTGCAGCATGAGTCGTAATGCTCTGGGAGTCTCAATGGTGGTTTGGTCTTATCCTCCAATCCCCAACACACAGTCACATTATGTTAACAAACATGAGACCCTCTCTTGGAGCTAAACATGTGCCCAAGGAGCATTTCCCACTCCCTTATTTTTTTCGTAGCATCTCTTCTATGACTTAGACTGACCAGGTCTGGAAGTAAAAAGCTACAGCATTTCTCTTGACCTCACCATTGATCTTGCAAGAAGAGGCAGTAATGAGCACAGAAGTGTCTGCATGGAAGCACAGAGCTACGTGGCAGCACCTCTGTCCCTGGGAAGTGTACTGGTTTTCTCCTTCGAGTAAAAACGCATGTTATTAAAAGTTCAAGCAGCTGTGGTTTCTTTCTGCTGTATTTCATCTACTCTGGATAATCATCAGTCTGTGTGTTCAGGGTAAAGTAGTGTTCTTGGAGCACGACTCATCCGCTTTCAGTATCCAACAGCTTTGCCTTCTCTGAATCAACCTCACTTTGCTAATATTGTGTTACGTCTGTTGCTTAAAAAATAAACTGCAAAACTTGTATAGCAATGCTTTTGCTGCGCTACTAGACAAAGAGGAAAATGAGGTTATGCAGAACAGCACCTGCATACGTCCCCAAACCAGAAACAAGAGATAATCCGATTCCCACACACCTCCATGCCTGTTAGACAGAAGACATGAATAGTTTATGTCCTGAGCTGTATTTTTAGAAGGCGCTGTGAGAAAGGAGTAGCTGGTTTTACTGGGTTTGGAGAAGAAATGGTAGAGGTTGAATAAACGAGGGGGCAGGCTTTTAGGTGAACAGATTTGCATTGTTACCTGGCAGTTTGCAGGAGCAAAATGGTGTTTTCCCCTTCATAAATACAAGAGGCAAGTATTTTAGTATACAAGGAAGGGAGTCCACTCAGCGAGGAGTAACCGTGTCCCCCGCATGCCCGGAGGCAGATCTCCACTCCTGAAGTGCAGTACTGAGTAACCATGGCTTTAAAGCCCGAAGAAAGTGCGTGGAGCTGTTTAAAAGAAAAAATAAGGCAAAGTGTTAATGGTGAAAGTGTTCTAAAGCAATCCTCAGAGTAAGTTTCCTTCTTTTAATTTTGTGCAATTTCTGGGCTTGAAATCCCTGTCGGATCCTGCCTTGCGTCCTGGTGCAGCACCCAGCTCCCCGAACCTGGCCTTTGCGTTCTGCCTGGGATGCTGCACACCCTCGTGCTGGGCACGCTGTGGTCAGTTCGTGTGTTTTTGGGTTTCTCTCAACCAGCAGTGGCTTTGGCCGCCCTCGTTCAGAGTGTGTTTTCATTTCAGGCTTCCAGTTGCAAAATCTTATGTTCTACTTAAAAAGTCACATTTTCGGTTTTGGCTCAGAAGTGAATATTTGCGTGTGCATTTGTAGGTGAAGTTGTGAAATAACGTTTTGTGCCACCGGCTTGGAACAAGAATTTTATCAAACGGACAGGCTTTTCAAGGACCTTTCACTCTGCAATAGTTCCCAAAATGAAAAACTGGGGGCGGTAAAGCAAATGCCATTGCTGACTGGTTGTGGACATAGGACACGCCATTTGATCTCTTAGTGCTTCCTCTTTTTCCAGTCATCTACTGGCGAGAGGAACGTTTGTTTGGTTTGCTAAAATACTTTGATATTTAGAGATGAGAAATGCTAATCCTGCTGCAGCTCACCTCCGGCAGGGTGTCGAAGTTCTTCCTCTGGATGTCTCTGTAGCTCCTGTCGAACAGCTCCTGCAGGTAGCCGTTGACGAAATGAAAGGCATAGGCTGCTGCCAGCTGGGGCAGCAATTTCTCTTGCTGGGTCTGGTAGTCCAGGATTTTTGCTTCTTGTTCCCTGTTGGAAGACAGCTGATGAAGTAGGGAAGGTGTGGACATGGGCATAGCTACTGTTAGTTTACCCATCGTGTTAAGCAAAACAGCATTTTTCATTGCCAAGAAGCAGTATGAGAACAGGACTGAGCTGACGTTGTGGCGGCAAATCTGCCCAGCTCGCTAAGCTGTTAGAGAAACAAGCCCAACTAGGAAAAAAGTCATTTTTCTGCTGCGTTGGTGAACCAGCCTAACAGAGTAGAGAAGGCTGTGTGTGATCGGTCGGTACAGAGGGGGAACAGGGACTGCGGGAGAGGGCAAGGATGAAGCCTTCAAGGACAGCAAGTTGCTAGCTGTTACAGGGGAGGCGGTGGCACTGCACCTTGACAAACTTTTGCTTTTCAAACTAGATCTTTGTGGCCCTGGGTGTGGGTAAGTTTATCTGAAAATACTCGAGTCTAAATTATTTTAAGCTTTCTGAGCTGCTTTCGGATGTTCTTTACCACTTTTGCTGTGGTTATTATACTTAGGACTTCAAATGCTGGAAATGGTTATTACAGTAGTGCAGCATGCTGTGCTCTTGTGTTTGGTTTGTGTTTGAACCAAACCGTGTTCTCATTAGGATCTTCTTGCTGCTGAAAGGCGATTTAAGTGGAAATTTTTGAAATCCGTTCAAATGAAAATATCTATTTAAAAATTACAGGGTTTCTTACCAGACTAATAAAATTCAGTATTGTAAAGTGTGGACGTTGGAATTGCGGATGTTGATAGGTACTTCAATATTGTGCCCACTAGTAGCGTGCTGTGAAATAAGAGTTCAGCAACTTGTCTGCTTTGTCTGGATTCTGCTGAGTTATGGGATTACACAGGAAGGCCAGTTATAAGAAAAATAAGTTGCCTGTGTGAACCGCTGAGCTATTCAAACTATGAAACTTATCTCAGAAAGGACTGTAAACATTCTCTTGTACTTTGACTGAAGCTCATTAATGTAAATAACGGGGAAGCATGTTTGTAATACCCTATCTGGGCCAGGAAATAAGCCGGTGATGTGCTCAGAGATAAGATGAAAATTAGAACTATAGACTGGTGCGGGGGAACATGGTGGACAGTCCCCTTCCCACCGCTGCGGACTTGCGTGGCATTACCCAGGCTTTAACTTGGACTGCCGGCGAACCACGGAGTACCGGATAGCAATGGTGCAAGCTTTCATCAGAGGTGTTACAACTTCGTCTGAAATGAGGGAAATGCGCACTGTAGTCATTGTGAAATAATTAATCTTCTGTGACCCCCGTCTTAAATAGGTGCCATCTGGTTGAACCTAGAGTAGAGAGAGGATGTTAGATGCCACCTTCTTCAGTACTTCAATACGATGATGGTTGTGCAATCTCTATGCATAGAATAAAATGGACATTGAAACCCTTCGCTGAATGCAAAACTAAATATTTTTATGTATGATGGATGAAACATACCCATTTTAAGAGAGAAACTCTTTACTGCTTCTGGCTCAGATGGGTTCTGCCTGCCCCGTGTTCCCCAACCTCTGAACGTGGAATTCCTGACACCGAGTTTCATTTAGGATTCAGGAAACTTCTGCCCTTGATAAAACCGCGGAGACTTGTAGACACCTCAAAGGAAGATTTTTGTCCTAAATTTAGGGAGGTCCCTGTCGGCTCTCTGGCTGTGCAATGAGACTCTGACAGGTGAGTCTGTGATGCGAGTCCGTACGTACCTCGCAAAACTTGTTCAGCATGTTCTCCCTGGGGATGCGCACATTCTGCAGCATGAGGTAGCCATTGTCAATGTGCTCATAATTCATTTTGGGACCAATGTCTCCTGCAGTTACGCCTGCAGCGGGAGAAAACACAGCCTGCTTACTTCCACTTGAACTTTTTTCTCCCCATTTTGTGTCAGGCTGGGGATCTCAAAGGGAGGGCACGTTCAGCTCTGCTTCTTCCCCAGCATGGGTGATCTCGCCTGAGGGGTGAAACAGGCATCCGAATGCCTTGTGGCAGTTTGTATCAATGAGCGGTCTGTTGCCTGGGTTGGCTGGGATCAGAACTGAGGTGTTAAATGTAGAGATGGTCAGCCCAGCTCAGGCTTCTAGTTGAGAAGGCTTGGTCTGGATATGCCTGAGGATACATTAAATCTTCCTTTAGATAAAAAGGTTGAGGTTAATGATAACGATGCCTTGGCTATCTGTCTTGGTTTGGTTTTCGCAATTGTAACTCTCTCCCTGGGCCCAATGTTTTACAAAACATTTAAGGGCAAAACAGGCAGAGCACCTGCACAAGCGCTACGATGTCTGGGGTCGTTTACCTGGGCAGAGTGAATGGTCCTGAAGGCTGCGTATCTGCACGATGAAGGGATGCACGCCGTAGCACTTCCCGTGGATGTACAGCTGAGCAAAGGCCACTGTGTGGGTTGCTGACCTTCCCACTGCAAGAAGAAAAACAGCCCCATTCCCTTAAGACAAGGTACAGCACAAACACTTCCACAGTTAACAGTGGTCAGTGCTAATTGTGTGTTAGGTCTCCCTGACATGTGGGTCAGTGTAGGTGTGATCCACAGCTGCTGGATGCTGGAGATTACCGAAATCTGCGCTCTGAGCCTGCTCTTGGCTCTCAGAAGTTGCGTCATCCTTCTGCCTCTGCCGCTGCCCGTGAGGCTTGGATGAACCGTTTGCATCATCAGATGACAAAAAATAAGTAGTTAAAGGCCATGCAGTGCTGCAAGAGTGGGAAGTGCTGTGGCTGTTAGAGTAACTTCAGTTATTTTCTGTGAAATACCTCCCTGAAGGGAGCCAGGAATCCTTTATGCTGATCCGTTATGCTGATGACCTCCCTGCAGTTTTTGATCATCTTAGTATTATTTACAAAGAAGAGAAGTTTGATTCCTGCAGAGGCAGGAGATTCCCTGAGAGAAGTTCTCCAGCCCTGCCACCCAAGGGCTCTTGATAGATGATGGTGGCTCCCTTCTGGCCTTTGAACTTGTACAAAACCTTTTGGTCTCTTACTTGCCTCTTGGTGTGCGCATCTCATACTGAAGTCCTCTGCTAGCACCTGGGCCCTCAAATGCAGAGCTTGAGCAGGGCAGACCGAGGAACTGAAGGAGGCAAATGAGGAAAACCAAAATATTTTGTGTGGTACTTACTGTCTCCAGGCCACCACTTCATGGCAGAGATCTTTGGTGTGTTCAGTATAAACTCCTGCGTAGCGATATCAAAGACTGCTGTCGTTTCCAAACCCTGAAGATAAGTTCCTTTAAAAAAATAAAAAATTTCTTCGTGTATTGCAAGGATAGAGAGAGTAGAGGATCCCTGGAGGCTGGTGTGGGTATTACCAGGGTTTTGTGGTTTATTCTGCTGATGAGAGCCATAGGATGATGCTCCCAGGGACCCCACCATCCCCCGCAAAGATCTCTTGAGCCGCTTGGTACTCGGGCAAGCTGCTTGGTTCATGGTGACCACCATCAACTTGGGCAAACTGCCTGTCTGATCCTCTCCACCGATGGTGACTGCCTACTATCTAACCGTGAGCTTTCACTTTGGCAAAAGCAAGGCACGTGCATCTCCAGCTTGCAGAGGAACACTGAGGACATCAAGGTCTAACGCACAGGTGGCATTTTCCCCCCCAGCCACCCCGCCCCAGTGAAGCATGGACAGTCTGAAATCAAATTCCCCCAAGAATCTGGGCCAGAGTCTCTCATCCTATGGAAATGCTGCATTTTTGTTGCAGCCTTACCGTGCCCCAGTTCAGTCTGGGCATAGCTTCCAATGACCCGATACTGGGAGGCAAGAGGAATCCATTTAGCAACCTGCTTGTCAGAGCCCAGCACCGAAATACTTCTCATGAAGATGCGGTGAAGGAGAAACGCGATGTCTCCTGACACTGCCCTGCGGAGAAGGCACAAGGGGTATTTTTACACAGATGAAATTCCAGGGGTGTGATGAATGAGGCGGTGACACTGCAGCGGTCACCAGACAGTACCACTTGCTGCCTTTTGATTTCTGCGTTGTAATACCTTACCCAATGTCCAGCATCAACACAGTATTGCAGGAAAAGTGCTTTTCCAAGCTGCTTTTATTCCTTCTTTCATAACATAGTTTGCTTAAGTGTTTCTAGCTCATTATTTCACTTGCTTTTGGAGGAATTATCTGTTCTGAGTAGCAGATGCTGAGCTCCTAAAAACACAGCCCAGCTCCAAAGCTCCTGTGGCTTTGATAGCTTGTGAGCCCTTCGTATCTTTATTTGACTTCATAGCATTTTTTTTTCCTGATTATTTAAGTCACATTTCAAGGCTAAGCTAAAGAACCCCCACTACCCTACCCCCAAGCCCTGGCAATTCACTGTGGGGCACATCAGACTGAATTACATGTGTAGGCATCTGAGATCTGGATTTCCCGGACATTCCCATTCCCATTTTGGAGAAATACCTCAGTACGTTGGGTTTGTTGCTGTACTATTCCCTGGGTGTTTGCTGTCAACCAACGCCAGTGAACAATATTGGGGTTCATGGCGATTTGGCCTGGCTTGAGATGTTTTTTTCTTGTGGAAAAATTCAAATACATCCTTGTAACATTGCTGTCTGGTCAGATCCTTTGCCATCACCAGCTGATAGGGCTGCATGCATCCCAAAAAGCACTGTTCCAGAAGCTGCGTATGGGAACTTGGGTACACTGCTTTCCAGGGTGCAAATCAGAAACTCATTTGTTTTAAGGTGGGTTTTGGGTTTTTTTTTTTGGCATGTGTGTGAGAAATCATAAGAAAATATGGGGAATATAGTCCCTCTTCCTGGGATTCCTCAGAATATGGTTGAATCTCCTCATGGATATGAGTACGTGCCCTCTCACACCTAAAAATAAGTGGCTGTGCCGTTCTCGGTAGCTTTGCATGGCTGTTAGCACGTTGCTTTACTGCAGTGCTCTGGTGAGCACTGGTCTCATTCCAGATAGATACCTTTTATTTTTAACAAATGACTGCGCCCTTTCTTTGATACTGTCCCTGAGAGAGAATCAGCCATGCTGAAAAAGTGTGTGGGGGTGGAAATATGAACAAAGAAGTTAAAGGGAAATGGCTTTGATTAACAGAGAAAGACATAATGAACCCTTGGCAGCTTATCCAGAAATAACGTTACTTTATCTGCGATTTTAAAAAAAGCTGGCTTTTAAATGTGTGCGAGTGATTCACTGTGTCTGGCACCAGGACTTAGAGACTGGTGTTCACCTGGGGTTTCGTCAGACAAGTGTCCTGCGAGGTGGCTCTGCTCTGAACCCAGGGAACGGCGGCAGTGCAGGGCTGGCCCTGCCGAAGCCCGCGCTGTCAGGGGCCCGATAAAAGCAAACCTCGGCGGGAGAGGCCTTGAGTTTTGTCAGGTTTTGAAAATCTTTTCTTCTGAGGAAGGAGTGCAGATCTGCTTTTTATTGGGAATATAATGATGGGGTCCAAGAGCTCTCCATGGAAGGTTTCTCCCTTCTGCAGTCCCACTCGCTGCAGGTGGCGAAGAGCTTAGTGCAAAAAACTATAATCTCTCATATGATGAAATATTGGGAAGTGACTGTGAGTGTCAGCGGTGATTTGTAAGGTGCAGGCGTTGTCCTTTTGAATGATGCTTTTGAACTTGCACCTTCTTACTGGGTATGTAACCCCCAAAATGGACAGTGTGCACCGGGTAACAGCAAACTGGTGCTTTTATTTAGCAAAGGGGGAAAGAAGGAGGGGCGAGCAATTAAAATTAAAATGTGGAGCTCAACCCCATGCAAAGTGTTAAGAAAAAATTTTTAAGGAAAGGATTGTGAAAAATATTTTATTCTGTTCCTACAAACTAAGTTTTTTTTTTCTTTTTTTTTTTTTTTAATATAGTATGGGTTTTCTAGGTAGAGAAAATGTCATTTTTAATTTATCTGGAAATCAGTAATGTAACTGAAACAGCACCCCTTCCAGTTTTGGTTATGCATTCAAAAACGGCTGAGGAGCAGTATGAGAGCTGTAGCACAGGCAAGGAGCTTGCTGAAGTAGAAACAGCACGTTGGGGATGTGAACTGCTGTGATCTATCACGCTGTACCCATGTGCTGCTCTTTGAGAAGTTCCCTGCTGTGTATCATCATTTTCCCTTCTCCCCAGCGTGCTGCTGAAATAAAAACCTGCAGCACCTTTGTATCAAAACCGTATCTGTCAACTGTTGGCCTCTCCCAGCCTTTGCTAAAGCCGTTTCTTGTTGGCATACAAATCTTTTAACAAAAAATTAGTTGTACCGTTAAAAAAAATAAAATAATGAAAATCACCTGTAAATGTACTTAAATTCAGGTCCGTTCTCACTCCATCCCATCTCCTGCATCTTTTTCTGGAGGTGAACAGCCTTTTGGACTGCTGCTTCGTACCTCTCATTCTGGCTCTGGAAATACTGGTTTTCTCTGCTAAACACAGGGTCACATTCGATAGCTTCGACTGCAAAGGAACACAGGAGGGTTGGTTCTCCTGGGACTGGAGAGGGGTGGGCAGCACCTCGAGCCCTGCTCAGGGGGGAGCAGGCAGGGCTGGGGCCATGGGTACCGGTGCTGTGACGTTTTAGGGTGAGCGCAGGCAGGTTTTGTTTTGCACTGTCTCTGATGGCTGTCACGTCTAACTCTGCAAAGTGGTGGGTTTGGGGAAGGAGGAGGGGAGGGGAAGTGAGTGGGGCTGAGAGAGGGGTCTGATGAGTGGAAGTAGTGACCGTGCAGGGTAAGGCACTGTCCCTGGTCGGGGCGTTGGAGCTGACTTTGTGCCGTGGGTCCCTCTGCCTCTAATTGCTGTTCCCATGCAGTGACGGCAGTGAGAGCTGCGGTTAGCCGGGTTTTGCCCCAAGGGTGGCCACTGGCCAGAGCTGCTGGGGGTCCCACTCGGCACCCGCGTTTCAGCTCAGGACTTCACCAGCCCTTCGTAGTGTTGCAAAGCGACTATGGGGTTTGCTCCTTCTGTGTCAGCCTGAGCTCGCCCACTGCTCCCTTTTTGCCTTGAAACCTTTGAGTCCATTCACATTTAAGGTTTTACTGAACTCTGGTTGCACCACGAAGCGTCCAGTCTCAGTGGCCTGTGCCATTTTCATTTGATAAGGGTACCATATGGGGATAGTTACAGAGACAGAAGAGTTTTGTTTTTTTTTTTTTTTTCCCTCTCTGTTCCTTCTGAGCGCACAGTCATTTTTCGGCACACCCATCATGAGTGAGAGCGGCTCAGCCTGGCCAAGCCAACCCACACAAGGAATTCCCCACCTGGATGAGCCTGATGTGCCGGGGGGGTGTCATTGAGATGTGCTGGGGGGATGTCGCTGACTGCGGTTCACGCACGGCGTGCACCCCTGTGCAGCAGCTCTAGCCCCTGCCTGTGTCCCTCTCGCAAAGAGATGCCCACCCGTGTGACCCTCAGCCCTCATATTCCAGTTTAACCAGTCTTGCCAGAGGTACTGGTGATAGGAGCAGGGAGAGGGAAAAGCTTCAGACAGCGGGAGTGGCTGCGGAGGCGTCGTGTTGATTTACACTAGCAGGGACTCCAACTCCACGCTCCCACTTTTTTAAGAGAGAGGTGACAAGCAAATACATGGGAGCACAAAGCCCACCGTGCAGAGGAGGAGCAGAAGCAGCGGGGACGAAGGCATGCCCCGTACCAGCCCGCAGCCAGGGACCGCGGAAGGGTGACTCACCCACCGCCCTCCGTAACCGCGTGTGCTCCGCGCCGCCGTCCAGCCAGGCTGTGAGTTTTTCCACGCTGAAGGAGGCCGTTTGCCTCTCGCTGGCGAGGTCGGGGTTCACGCTGCCGAGGACGGAGCCCTGCGAGTACTTGCCGGTCTCCAGCAGAGCCATCCCGGAGGCTGAGCCGCTCTGGGAAGGGATGGGGCTCGTTAGGCGCTGACACCCTTTCAGTGGGTGGTTGATGAAGGTGTTGGGCGCAGCGAGGAGTGGTTTTGGTAGGTTGGCAAAGATGTTATACCCGCACAGGCAGCCCAGGGCATGGCTCCCGGCGCTGCGGGCACAGCTATTGCAGGGCACTGCGCTCGGCAAAGTAGGTGTAGGAATGTACTTTGTACACAAATAGGCACATTTCCATGTTAGTTTAAAAAAAAAATCAAACAAACAGTGGTTGCATGAATATTTAGGCACTGTCTTGTCCTCATTGCAATGATGTGGACAATGAAAATTTAGGGCACTTTTAAGAGCTCAAAATGCAGGTTTTATGGTAGGTATTTTTTAAACGTAAAATCTTTTTCTTTCACCAGTCTGTCCCCAATATCTTATGAAAAGTTACTGCAGGAATATCCCACAACAATGTGTTAATGTTTAAGGGAGTTTCTGGCCCTGGCCTGTTCCCCTCCCCATGCTGCGCGCTGTTGCTGCTGCTGGCCCATGGTCCAAGGGCTAAGAGCCTCCCGACCCGGTGGTCGCAGGCGCTGGCAGCTCTGCCCACCCTGCCTCCCACCTGCTTCCCACGGGGCTCGGCTTTACATTAACTCCTAGCCTTGTAATTCCCATGGTAGCAGGATTTGT